GGGCCCGCCTTTGCGTGCACGGAGAGAGGTCCATCGGTGGGGTTGGGGGTGCCTGCCCCGTGTTTACTTGGAGAAGGGGCCCTTTGGGGCCTCTCCTACACTCTTGTCCGTGTTTGGCTGGCGGCTGGACCTGTTATCCCTCGAGTTAGCGCTTGCACCCCCGCATCTCTGACACGTTACCCCTTTCCCTTGTGCTGTGCAGGAGGCCTCGTGGCTGGACTGTGTCCAGCGCCCTTTGGTGAGGCTGCTACTTGTGACCGCCGCCCCCGGAGCAGGAAACATCCTACTGGCAGGGTGCTGGTTGGTCACGCTGCCTTCGCTACGCGTGTTCTGGGGTTGTAGGCTGGTGCATTATTATTCTTAAGCATGTTTTTAGGCTTGAGTCTATCTTCCCTGTCCTCCCTCCTTTCTGGCCCCACCGTGCTTGGAAAGGGAGCAGGAGTTCTAAGGAGTTTTTCCCTAAGCGGGTGCAGTAGGTGAGACCTCGGCCTGCATCTGCTTGTAGGCACCTTTTTGTGTTGTGACTTTCCCCGTCTCTGACCCTGCTCTCTCTGTACTGCTTTCTCAGTGACCTTAGGCTTTTCGGGGAAGGGGTAATAATAGTGCTAACAACCTTGGGCATAAACCTGAGAACGCGCCTCTGTAGGGAGAGCGTTTTGAATTACTTTGCCAGGGTTGCTGCAAACCCAAATCCTGTTGTAGCAGTAGATTATGGCTTTAAGGCAGAAAATGCACCTGTGCTCCCTGTGCCTGCCTTATCCTCGCCACAGAGTCACAATCCTTCCTGCTGGCATTAGCAGCAACCACGAACTGTTAATCGGAATAAGGTTGTGTCTGGGGAATCAACAGAAAGGCTCAGCTCTCCCTTTTGAGGTGTGTCTTTGTTTACCCCAGTGCTGGGACTGTGAGACTGCACTGCTGACAGTCACCTGGATTTAAGGGTTATAAATAATTCTGCCTCGGTTTGTAGAAGCATTTTCAGTGATGTAAGCATCAAAACAGTGAATTACTGGGCTCAAAAACTGTGGGTTAGTCTGTAAGCGAAGCTTCCTGTAAAAAGTTGTTAGTTATTATTCTTCAGGCTGGATTTACACGTGCCTTTGTTACAGTGGAGCAATTTTATTTAGGGAAACAGTTACCTTTTACTAAAATAAATAGACTGATACTGTTTACACCCTCTGTGTACTTATGTCACTAAAAAAAAAAATGCTCTTTTGCAAAGCAGCCTGTACAACAATTGCTTATACTGGCACAATTGTCTTTATTTTCTATAATAACATCCACGTTAGAGGGTCTTCTATGGTCTGATCTTATGGCTGAAATGGAGCAGTTTATGTAGACTAATCCTAACTGAAACCTGTGCAGAAAGCTGTGTTGAGACTTATTTCAGCTTATCGTAAAGCAATTAAGAAGACATTGAAGTTATGCTTTCATGGAGATAGGTGTGTGCTGAATTAGCTAAATTGGTGTTTGTTTCAAGATAGACTTATTTGCAGCATATGAAATGCTTTTTGATCTTTTTCAGTACTGTCTTTTGCTGCTAGTGTTGAAGGGGATGAGTTTTCTGTTTGATTTGGGCTTAAAAAGAATCCTCTTTCTGGTAAGATTTCATCACATGGTTTTATTTTTTGGGAGCTTCCTATTTTGTAGTTATTCTGTATAAAGTTGAGTGGACTTCAGTGGGCCCAGTCAAGCTGCAGGTGTCTACCTGGAAGAAGTTGTAGTCAAAGTTTGCGGATGACAGCAAGCTGAGTGGTGCGGTCGACATGTCAGAGGGACGGGATGCCGTCCAGAGGGACCTGGACAAGCTGGAGAAGTGGGCCCGTGTGAACCTTCTGAGGTTTAACAAGGCCAAGTGCAAAGTCCTGCACTTGGGTCGGGGCAACCCCCGCTAACAATCCAGGCTGGGGGATGAAGGGATGGAGAGCAGCCCTGCTGAGAAGGACTTGGGGGTACTAGTGGATGAAAAGCTGGACATGAGCTGGCAATGTGTGCTCGCAGCCCAGAAGGCCAGTCGTATCCTGGGCTGCATCCAAAGCAGCGTGGCCAGCA